TGTCAACGCAGTTAACTCTCATCAAGTTCCATTGTCTTCGCTAAAACGTCGACCTCATCAATGCTAGTTCGCAAAAATGGAACTGATGGTTCGTGCCTCTCTGACTTTCTGCAGTCATGAACACTAAAAGCAAATCGTATGCCTCATTTTATGGACTCAAAGACATCGTAGGAGATGCTAACCATTTCGGCTACTCAAAATGCCAATTCTCCAATGTAATGCTTTAGAAGAAGTCATTTATTGAAAACTGTTAACGTCTGTTTCCAGATTTTGCAGTTGAGTAAGTTTGATACTTTACAAAGTGTAACCATAATAGCTTACTCAATTTAGCTATAGGATTGTCATTTCTTGCGAACACTTCTTGATCTTTCTTTCTTGTAATAGAAGAGCTGACATTATTCTCATGACTTCCCATTTGTGAATGAGCTTTTCATGCGTCACACATGTCACCGAAAAGCTGGTGATTCAATAAACGTCTCTCCGCAAGATATTAACGAGCTTACTGCAACTTTCTATGGAAATGCTGAAGAAGCTGAGAAATTTGTTTGGTAAAATGTCGTTGCCATATGCTTTCGATTGGTTTGTGATGACTATGCTAATATTCATGCTCTTTTACACCGTAGACGACAAGGCTCTGAAACTAAATGTCAACATTTCTACATCAAATCTGCGTTATTTCTAAGCTCTTGATACTCGGTAGATGGTCCGAAGATAGTTTTCGCACTGTCTGGGGTCATTATCGTAGACCAGCGCCCTTGAAGCACTGAAGTCTAGGTTTGCTGTTGCTCCTTTATCCACGCGGTGTCCACAGTCATAATGAGTCCAAGTAGCATGGACGAATGTGGTGCGGGGCCACTACCAATGCCACAGGACGCAACATTAGGCACACAATTCAACTGTTAGAAGTTAGCCTCGAAACTCTTCATCCAATATCCTCTCCATAAAATAGTAATACAACTTTCAGAAGTTGTGTCGCTTGAGGATAGTTTATAGCTATCCTATTTTATCTTGGTCCAGCATCAGCCAATCAATTCAGTTACCCGACTCAAACGGCCTCGTCGACCACAAGCGCCGACTTTGACCTTTTCCAATTCACCCCCTGCCACTCTTCCACCTTCACCCCTTATTACACCTACGTCATCGCCCTCCACCGCTTCGCCCTCCGCCTCCGCTTCGTCTTCTGGATCAGTTGCCAGTCTCACGCTCTCCTCCCTCATTACTTCCTACACCTCCTCCTCTCCTGATCGCGGTGTCATCGATTTTCGGCCACAGAGAGGCCTTTTTCGTTCTTGCTCAGATACCCCTCCCATCTCTCCCGAGAAAATTGTCGGAGCTGTCCCCACTTTCACTCCAATCCCGGTACCTCTAGCTGGTGGAAGTTTAAGGGAGACAATACCGCCGGAGGACGCCTATGAACCGGTTTATGAGGAACCGATTCAGCTAGAATGCCAAACTTACAAGTGTCCGACACCAGCTCTCGGTATGTGTTGCGTTGAGAATTCCAATTCAATTTCAATTTCAAATCCAAATCCAACTTTACTTGACGAAAGTAGATTGTCCCTATTTTTAATGCACTTTTATCTCAATACTGTTTATGTCTCTTCTTGCATTGAAAGACTGTTAGTTCAAATGCATTTTGTTACCCGAGTTGCTTCTGGAAATAGTGTGAACAGTACCCAATTTAGGAAGCCGCTCGATCATAAACATATGACAAAACGAATCCCTTCCCAATCCTAACGTTTTTCCACTTACGTCTTTCTTTCCCTGCCTACTAATACCTAAGCTAGTAGAACCAATAAAGCAAACCATCCCATTCATACTTTTCAGGAGCGCCTGGTTTGCAGATAGCATCTGCAGTTCAAGCCTCCGCCGCTGCCTCCTCCTCCTCCAACACTCCACCATTCCGTCGTTCAGGTAGAAATTGGTTGCCCTCAGGTGGGTGTTTCTTTCCACCACCTCACGCGGCTTCCGCACTGAAGTCGGAGTTCGTGGAGCTAATGGACACGCTCGTGGCATCTACTGCACTTGTTTCACCTTCGCTAAACAGATATGATAGCGGAAGCACCATTCGATCGAAATACGGGGTAAGAAATCTCATACTGAGAACGTTCTTCCAAAAAGCTGCTGATATGTCTCTGTACCGTTGTGACATGGCCACTACTTCTTGTACTTAGAGAGATTGCTATGCCTAGGTAGAGATTAAAAAGATTAAACTGTTTTCCGTTTCCGGATAAAGTTTTTATCAAAGTCCTCCGGTGCTCAGATGTTGCCTTAATACTGGGTGGACAAGACTTAGAAGCACTTCAGAAATTGGCAAAATTTCAACTACATTTTTGGGAATCTGTACAAAGGCGCATTCCCAAATCTAAGAAAATATTTAAAATTTACCTTTCATAACAAGATTAAGTTAAGTTTCCGAAATTGCGTTTTCCAGAAACCAATTCTAAGGACGCTCTGGCATAATATCAGTGACGATTTTCCACCCCTTTCCACTCGTATGATTGCCAGATCTTATACACTTGTTTGTCCA